TGAAGGTGTCGTTGCTGACGACGCCCTTGAGGCCCTCGAGCTCGAGAGTGTAGCGGGTGGGCATCAAGTGGTTGTAGTTGACAAGCTTGACGAAGGGCTTGATCTTGTTGCGCTTCTCCTGGCGGGTCTTGGACATGCGGCGGGTGATCTTGGAGGGGTAGCGCTCGATGCCGGCGACCAGGGCGTGGCCGAAGGGGTGAGCCTTGTTGCCAGAGTCGACAGGCTGGATGATGACGACCTGCAGAGAGGAACGTTAGCAATCGCTCGGGATTATTGGATGTGTATGTGTGGGCAAGTGCCCCAACACAATCCACCATTGTCCTCCGCAGTAAATTTCGTGGATGCCCTCAACCCAAAATATCGGACGCTCGAAGAGTGTAAAAAGTGTTTGGTCGGATCGGTGTTTCCTCCTGTTCTTTTCGCAATTCGGAATCGTTTCGTATAGTCGTCGCCATAATTTCCTTCCCATAGTTCCCTGGCCAAACACTTTCACACTCCTCGACATCGATGTTGGGTGACCTTCATCCGCGCCCCTCCTTCTCGCGAAGTCGGGGTTGAAAATAGTACTGCGACGGGGTAGGCTTTCTCGAGAATTTTCGTATATAATCGTACCTTCTTGCCGGCGTAACGGCCGTGGGTGATGATGGCGACTCTGCCGACCTTGAGGAACTTCATTTTGACCTGCGCTGTCGGTGGGTGCTGGGCGTACTGGGCGGTTGGTGAAAGTTGCTGCGACGTGAGATCCTGGATTTGATAACCTAGAGGAAATTTCAAAATTGATCCGTGGGAGGGAGGGACCTAAGCATGTGCCCGGTCACGTGGTCGAAATTTCACTGGGGAATAGGCGAATCACTGGTGGTGGGTGGTGCTGCAAGTGGGGGCTGTTGGCAATGGAAGGACGCTTCCACTGACCAGCGTCCGCGCTGGAGCTCTACTGGACGGGCCACTGGTACCCAGGTACCGTGCCCGATGGCGCTCAGTCTGCTCCACTTCCCAAGCTGGCCACGGAGCTCATCGCGAACTTCCTCCGATCCCTTTCAACAACAGCCTAGCTTTACCACGCCCCACGAACGACGCGACCTCCCGCGACGACGACGACGACGACGACGACGACGACGACAATACCCAAACACACACCATGGCTCCTCCACCTGCGTATATCATCTCCAAGGTCGCGGATCCCATCTTTGCCTTGGTGATTGGACTTGGTGCCGCTGCGACGAGAATCAATCGCGAGGAGAAGGAAAAGGGCAAGACTACACAAGAGACCATTGTGGCGGTGAAGAGGTACGGTGTCTATCAGCAGTACACTGGTACGATCTCTGACTAACCCAATCGGATACCTAGACGTCTAGGGCTTCTCAAGGCTTCCGCATAGGCACTCATAGTGACAGCCATTGGCAAGGGAGGAGATGCGACGCTTCAACCGCCTTTGCTTACATTTGCAACTTGTTGATACTATATACACCCTTACTCGCCGTAGGACGGCCCATACTCCTTCTTCATCGCCTCCCGGACCATCTGCCCGCATAGCTTCGCCGTGGGATTCGTGCTCACTGCCAGACCCTTAGCGATCTCGTTGCCGTACCTTCCGCCATAGGCAAAGTCCCGAGACGCCGCCTCCTCGAACACAAGCTTCGTCCAGCTGTCTTCTCGCCTCCCTTCCGCGACCTGTACGCTGTGCTCCTCTACGAGCTTGGCAGTCATGTGGTAGATGGCGGCGCGCTGCGTGTATGCTAGCGATAGGGTCTTGGCTGCCTGAGGCGACATGGCGCCGAACATTGTACGCGGCGTCAAGAGGGAGATAGACTTTTCACTATCTTCCAGGGCGATCTTTGAGTACCGGATCAACTCGGCGCTTTCGGGCGCCTGTACGAGCCGTTGCGGCGTTGGTGGTGCTCCCGCCAACAGCATCGTGTCTCCGTACAGCCGCCTCAGCGCTTGTACGCGGTTGTTCCTCGCGCTGGCATAGTTGGGGTACGCTTCGATGAAATCGTCCAGCTTCGAGAGAAGTCCTTTGTACTCTTGCACCGGTTCAGATACAGTTCTCGGCCGCAATCCTGCCAATTGAAGTTCGAGCTGTTGCATGGACATGATGATCTCACGCTCCTTCTGTATCACTCGCTCGTAGACAGCGGCATCAGCGATGTGAGGATCCCGGGGCAGGGATGGGTCGAGGAGGACGTTCGCCGAAGGGTCGGATTCGGGGTCCTTGATCTTGTCAAGTACGTTTACGTCTCGTCGAGTCAGGTCCACAGAAGCCATATTGGAGTGTTGAATTGGAGATTGAATAATTTTGGGAAGAATACTGATGTTCTTTGTCGAAGGAACAGATTCGAGATAAATCGAACTTTTTTGCGATGCGTGACGATGGACCGACTACGCTTTTTTCCGATCTCAAAAGTGACAAACACCGCCAGGACTGGCTGGCAGCACGGCAACCTTTATCAGACGCAACACTTTCGAGCGGCTTCAGCGGGGGGCCAAGCAGCAGATGCTCACATTCCGCACTGCGACGGCTACGAAAGGGTTTCAGAGGCGATGAGATAAGGCACATGCCGTCATGGTGGGTACCCCACCCATCCCACAAGCAGAGAGCCCAGACGTTCCCCAGGATGAACGGAAACAGCGGCTTGGTCGCCTGTGCCCTCCTGTTCTTTGTATTCCAGGTTGAATCTGGGAGGGTGCTGCGCGGGATGGCGGGCATAGCCTGGAGCATCCGAAGCATGGGTGGGGAACCCGTCAAAGCCGCGCCGCACATGGGCCGGCCAGCGGCGGCTTATCGCGGCTCACCGCGGCCATCACACTCGGCCGGCGCCTTTCCGCTTGCGATTGGCATCTCACCTCAACGCTGTACCGCCGGCTCTACGCTTTACCGCTGCCAACCTCTCCTTCTACTTCGGGACGCTACTGCCAGGTATCGAAGCCATTCTAGGATGGCGCCCGTCCCGTCACGAATTGCCTATGCGCAAGGACTGTGGACAGAGACAGGATCTAGAGACTACCCCCGCCCGGGAGGGAAGGTTGGCCAGTGACAAGCGTTAGATGCGGCGACGGGGAGCCACCAATCTACGGGCGTGGAATGCAGGATTACTCAAGTCCTTGTCCTCCAAAGGCGGAAGTCCGTCGTTGAATAAGGTTCATATATGATAATACAGTGTCAGTGTCTTGGTACATATAAGGATAGACGGTGCAACGTACATAACACGGACAGTCCCCCCCCTTTTCCTCAACGAGCAACGTCTACAATCTCACTAGATTTAACCATCGACTCTGTCTGCCTCTTATCAGAGAATCATTACGCACTTACACACGCTCATACTCCTTGACCCTAGTCCTGTCACCCCCGAAAACTTCTGAGTGTCAATGTCCCCTTCTGCTATCACAGACTCCCCGCCACAGCAAGCCGCCTACCCGGCATCAACAGATCTCGGCGATGGACTCGCAGTACAGCATCCGCCGCCCAACTTCCAGGGCTACGATCACGTAACCTGGTGGGTTGGCAACGCCAAGCAGGCCGCTGCTTACTACACTACTCTCTTCGGCTTCAAAACCGTAGCATACAAGGGCCTCGAAACGGGCAGCAGGTATATCGCCTCGTACGCCGTCGCCAACAACGACGTCCGTTTCGTCTTCACCTCCCCGGTGCGATCACTGGCCCACCTCCCCGAGGATGAGCCCATCTCAGACGCGGAGCGAGAGCTCCTGCGCGAGATTCACGCTCACCTCGAGAAGCACGGCGACGCCGTAAAGGATGTCGCCTTCGAGGTCGACAATGTCGAGGGCGTATACAACAAGGCCGTCTCAGAGGGCGCCGATGCCGTTCAGCCCCCGACCGTTCTCAAGGACAAGGAACACGGCAACGTCCTGACCGCCGTCATCCGCACCTACGGCGACACGACGCACACGCTCATCTGCCGCAACGGATATTCGGGTCCCTTCCTCCCGGGCTTCCGCGCCGCGAAGCCCACCACGGCCACCGTCACGCTCCCCAACGTGCCCCTGGCCCGGATCGACCACTGCGTCGGCAACCAGTCCTGGAACGAAATGGTGTCGGCCTGCGCCTTTTACGAGCAGTGCCTGTCCTTCCACCGCTTCTGGTCCGTCGACGACTCGCAAATCTGCACAGAGTTCTCGGCCCTCAACTCCATCGTCATGGCCTCGGCCAACAACATGGTCAAGATGCCCATCAACGAACCCGCGCCCGGCAAGAAGAAGTCTCAGATCGAGGAGTACGTCGTCTTCAACTCGGGCGCCGGCGTCCAGCACATTGCCTTACTGACCCAGGACATCATCACCACCGTGTCGGCCATGCGCGCCCGCGGCGTTGAGTTCATCAACGTCCCCTCGACCTACTATGACACCATGCGCCACCGCCTCAAGACGGAGAAGCGCAACTGGGAGCTCAAGGAGGACCTCGTCACCATTGAGGCGCTCAACATTCTTATCGACTACGACGAGCAGGGATACTTGCTTCAGCTCTTCACTAAGCCGCTCATGGACCGCCCCACCGTCTTTGTTGAGATTATCCAGCGCAACCACTTTGAGGGTTTCGGTGCCGGTAACTTCAAGAGCTTGTTCGAGGCTATTGAGCGCGAGCAGGCCGAACGTGGAAACTTGTAAAGCAGAAACAGGTAGTTAAACCAAGTTCAACCTCATTTCAGTATCACACAATTGTTCGTATCCGCACTCGTGATGGTGTCGAATGTGAGGCCAAGATGCTCATCTCTCAGCCAGCCAACTTCTTGTTGAGGGTGTTCTGCAGGGTACGATAGGTATATTTAAAAACATGGTCCTTACCTGGACCTCTTGCGCCGATGAACTCTTTTCTCCAATTCCTGTGCTCCGTTGATGCTGCCATCCGTTTGTCCAAATGCAAACTGCCGAGTGTTGGCCAACTCTAGCCAGAGCGCTGCTTCCTCTCTCTCTCCTCCATGGGAGCTCCACGCTTCCTCCAAGATCCACCATCCTATATTCCGTTTCCCATATATCTGTTAGTGTCATGAGTCCACCACCATAGCCGTTCCATTGGTTTGATGCTCATGCGCCCCATTCGTCTCGTTAATCACCTCCATCGCCGCCCCACGGGTGTCACTTTGGCATCCAGGGCAGTTGTGAATGACCTCATGCGCGTAGACGTCGCAGTCGATGCAAAAGTGATTATCACACACCGTGCAGGCGTACCGTCCGCTTTCACTAACCCCCTTCAGCTCTGCCGCTTTCACCGGGGTCGGGGCAACGGGCCCTGTCGTCGTAGTCACGCCATCTTGGTCCTTGCCCTTGTCCTTCTTCTTGGAGGCCTTGGGCGGTTCCGGAAAGTTGGTGAGGCACGAATAGCATGCTTTCGACTTGGCGGCCGCGGCCCAGGTGACCTCGATCCAGTTCCGTAACGGAAAGAGATGGTGGTATGAGCGCGCGAGATGGGTGGAGAGGATGAGCGTCAAACTACAGGCGGGACACTCGATGGGCAGACGACACACGCGGGTAGCGCATCGCGTGCAGAGATAGCCTTCGCGGGCGGGTTTGTTATGGCAGGCGCATACGGCTGTCGTCTCGCCCTGCGCGAGAGTGCGCGAGGGGAAGCCCATCATGAGCAGAGAAGCGGTGCTCTGGGCGGCCGTCCGGGTAACGGGTGGGGTCGTGGCGGCGAGGAGGAGATCGCGGAAGTGGGCATCGTTCATGCAGACGCTGTACTGCGTGTCGTCGCCGGCGTTGGTGCGGGTGCATAGTTCTCCGCAGATGGCGACCTGCGCCGCGAGGCCGACGATGGTAACGCGGATTTTATCGGATATGAGGGAGTCTATTGTGGTATGGATGTCGCCCGGGTCGGAGGAGAGGAGGGCGCCAAATACTATTAGGACTTCTCGTGTGCCGTGGGAAGGTGCGTGGCTGTCGGGTCAGAGTCAGTATCTGTCTGTAAAGCTTAGGGAATGGCATTATCACGTACAAAAGGGCACCGCGACACATCTCAAGCGCATTCTGCAAACTTGGGTTGCCTGACGGATCTTGGCCCTCGAATTCTTTCAGCTTCTCCAGGTGGTCTGTCGGATTGCCGCTCATCTCGCTGATTCGTAGAGCCACGCCATCTCGCATGCCGACGATGCCCAGCTGCGAGATTGGGTTCTGTTCGAAGTACTCCTTCACGAAGTCGGCCGCGTACGCCCAGGCTACACGATAGCGGTTCGGGAGCATGTCCTTCTCGGTCATGGCGAATGACATGTCTAGCACCAGCACCAGATGTCTGATAATGCCGCGCTGCAGTGGCGTTGTGTCTCTCAGCAGCCTCCTCCTCTTCTCGGCCTCCAAGCTTGCCCCGACCGCGAGACTGCCGTCAGCGCCCTCTGTGACTTGCTCCCAACTTCGCTTGACCTCCTCCCATCGCGCCTTGGAATTGCCGCCTTTCCCCTTCTTTCCACCTTTTCTCGCATCGCCGCCTCTACCGTTGGTCACCTGCAAGTCATCATCAGACATGTCATGGTACTCGCCATCGGAGTCGGCCATGATGGATGACGTCGATCGGAGGCCCCGATCTTCGTATTGCTTCGTACGTCGGGTTTCGGTCGCTCGATTCGTAAGTTTAGCGGTCGCAAATACCCAGCGGGACGTCTAGCAGGTCGCGGATTATTTGCGTAAGAAATCAATGGGTGATCGGACAGGTGAGTTGGAAGAAGTGAAAGTGGGCGCCACAAGGCTATGAGGAAAAGATCGCAGCCTCGCACTTTAGGCCTGGAAGCTCCTTGACCACAGCCAATCAGAAGGCGTGTAATGCACACCCTTGTTGGTGGTGCTTCACATGCAACTTACTATTGCCCTTACAGCCTGTTTTAATTACTGAGTGCTTGGCAGATTTCATTGAGCTTGGTGCAGGCGCATGCGAGTACTTTCCCTTAAATAATTCCATGAGCCTTCAAGTCCCCGCAGAGACGGGTTTGATTCAGCCCAAGCCATCGCCCCTGTGAGATGTAGTGAAGGGAATCTCGCAACGGCTACTCCCGGGTCACTTGACATTGTAATGTGCTTTTCATTATGAACTTGAGTTCTCGAAGTTGACTTGATAGTGGCAAGCACTCTCAGTCATATCCTTCTGCTGCTGCGTTGATCAGTACGCTCATTTGCTGCACCGCATTCGGGATGGGAATATCGCTTACCATGTTGCATATATATAATCGTAGTGAGATATCCACGATGCCGCATCCTCCAGTATCGAAATAGGTACATTGGCGGAGCTATGGTGGGGTATGACAGGGGACACCCGAACCCCGGAGCTCCCGGGGGTTCGGCTTCGCGGTTCTATCCGGATCGGCGCCGGTCCAATGAGAGTGGGGAACTTAGCCGTCCGGTCTTCCGAGGCGACCCAGTCTTGGATGATTGAAGAAAAAAGCATGCGAGCAGCCCGTGAAACTGTTCTCTGCCCTATTCAGTGATTGTTTTGCACCTTGACGAGACGCTGTCACGTCAGAGTATTTCCTCATTCCAGCTTAGCGCATTTCTCAATTTCCAATATCACTGAGCCGGCTGGGAAAACCACGTCAGGTCCTCGGTGATGGTTTCCGGGCTTACGTCTTCATCCATATAATTCAGAGCCATTCAAGGTCGCGTTTGGTCACCGAGTAACTGAAATCCATCAGGCCGAATGCTGCTTCCCGGAGCGAACGAGTCTGTCTTTCCTCTACTGGTAATGTAACCTTCTCGTCCGTCACGCTAGTCGCTCCTTTCGCACGATCCGCGAAGTCCCGCGTACAGCTTCCTGGAAGAAGTACAAGGTTAGGCAGGCTTCACGAGAATTTGCTTCAGATGGTGAGTGCCGCCGTGGGTTTCGACAGTGGTAAATATATAACTAGCCAAGGCGCCATGTTGAGACTGTAGCTTGCCTGCCCTCCAAAGACGAGACGGTATACTAATACTCATGACTGTATATATCATCGAGAGTGTTTGACTGATATAACACCATCTAAAAAATCCACGCCGCAAGACCCTCGGGACTCCTTCGAGACTGAGGCGTATGGGCCCCAGACTCCAGCACCAGATCGTATTCTCCTCTCATATAGGTACCCAATTCTTTCTATCGGTGCGGCGAGAAGTGAAAATCGGTCTAGGGCGGTCAAGCGACACGTGAGAGTTGGCGAAGACTGTGACTGGGAAGGCTTATGGAGAAACATATCCAAGTGACTCCTCTTTGCCATTGTCCTGGGCATATCACTCGGTCGAAGCTACCTATACTCTATATACACTTGGAACATCACTTTCATGTATCTTGTGAGGAAGTCAACATGTTCGAGTGTTGGTTTTATCACTTTCCTGTGCATCACTTGATCTGTGTTGCAGAGCACGTCATCTATGGAGAGGAGTTATATCTCTCAATGACACTAGATTGCTGGTATGAGAGTACTACGTTGATGAACACCACTCTGGCGGGAGCCCTCTTTGAGGCTATTTGGTTGGTCCCGCATAAGTAGCAAGGTGTATCTCGAGGGGAAACAGACAAGAAGTTCATGCCTTTGTGAAGTTCGCCATGACAAATCTCGTATTCGAACAGCCATTGGATCCTATAGCCTGGCATAGATGTTTTCCCTCTTGAACCGGGTTTTCCCTCAACCCCTTCTTCACCGGAGCCAACCGAGGGGAGGCTTTTGGTTGCATGTTCGCTGTTGACTCCTCCTGATTAGGTGTACTCACGTTTCCATGATTCGATCTTCCGTGTGTTTCAAAGAGGTCGAGGTTTGCTGACTTATCATAAGCTTTCTATCGGAGTCTCTCTGATGCTGCGATGACACGGCCAGAATAAATCGATATTTACTAGAGGTTCGATACTTACTAGAGATTGCCGTCCTATTATACAGTTGCAATAACCTGGAGCGGAAATCACAAAGTCGAGACTCTGACTAATAGTTATCGCAACATCTCGTAAACACAATTCATCTCCTTCCATCCTAAGAGGTCGTTATTTTTATGCGCACAGCAATCCGGGAGTGTGGAACATGATCCAGGTATCATGTCAATAAAGCAAAGCAGCTTGAAAATATCCGATTACCTGAGATGATATTGGATTGGTTTCGCGTGTGGTGTTCCGTGCGATTATATGTCCCCGTGCTGCTCAAGTAGTAGTGGAGTAGAGATGTACTACGAAATGTGGATTCCTGTTGAATAGCACAGAGCAGCTAAAAATTAATGGGCTTGTCATTCAACAAAAAGGACGATTATAATAGAGCTTATGCTAACCATTCGGATGGAATCTGTAACGTGTGTTCATTTCATTATTGACTAGGTCATCTCGAACTCAGGGCGGGGAAAACAAATGAGGCTGAGAATGCGAGGAATTGACATCGCCAAAACACCACACCATAAATAAACCACAAAGACTGAGATCTTGAAGTTGAGGACTTCTAAGCCAGTAAAATAGTTGGTTTCATTGAAAAGGCTCTCTGAATCCATTGTGGGGGATGGATGGTAGAGCCGCAACACCAGCATCACGAGATTTCGCGTTCACGATATCAGCAACTCTGCATCGCCAAACGACCACATACGACCATACCCATTGGAAAACTCGGGATCCCGTCCGCTCTCCCATAGATAAGCCAATGAGGGCCGGATTAGTAGTTGGGTCGGTGACGACCAGCGAATACCTGGTGTTGTATGTTTTGTTTTGCATTTTTACCAGTCTGATATCGGGCCCAGTGGGGCGTTCCTCGCCGGTTCAGTGGAAATGTTGTTTGGGTGGATGGCTGGAACGCCGCGGCGCAGTGAATACCGAGCACGATGTAGAAATTTCTATGGGCTTATTTCTGCCATCGAATACAGGAGACAGCTCTAGTCCAAGGAGTATTGCTGTAGATATTCCGCAACAGCTAGGCCGTCTGCCCTGGTTCTCGGGAAACCGGTTCTCAACTGGCACTAGAGGAGGATCATACATATTCTCATGGACAGGATCTGTCAGTTTGCAATCCTGGCCCTACGGCTGAGCATTACCCGTCAAGACTCGAGAAGGAACTCCCCCCCTTTATCCGTACAAGGACTCGAGAAGTGGGTAGATGAGGCAAGACTATCTTGCAGTGGGCCTGTGTGTAAGGGTGGTCCGGAGCCTGCTCCTGACGTTGGCTCTTAGTATGTACGAAGTAATTCATGTCAACTACGGTCATATTTGCCATGGGTCATTCCTGGGTCAGGACGAGGCGGAAGGCAGAGTAGTTGGTCCTACGACATTGGCAGAGCCTGGGTCAATCTCAAAAACAACAAGCCTCTCGCGAGGAGTCCATCAAAGCACCCCCTGCTCGGCCGAGTCTACCAGTGACACAAACAAAGTCCAGGAGACGCGACCAAACAGCTGGGATTCGAGACCAGAAACTTAATCGAACATGATCGGGGGCAACTAGCCAGCCTCTCAGGCTAAGAGATTGGAACTGCCTCCGGCGAAATGCAAAGTGGAAACCAATTGGTACTTTCATCGAGATCGACGATAAACGTCCATGTCCTCCGTACTCTGTAGGTCTTGAAAAAGCAGAGAAATGACTTTCATCTGCCGTCTCAGCTTTCGTCTGTCGACGCTAACGTCCGGGGGCGGCTGGGACTTGTCCACAAAGCGTTAGCCAGCAAGAACTGCAAAACTCCTTTCCCGGGCCCCCATCCATCAACTCGGGACACGTTTGAGGCTTTTCGGGGCAACAGAAGGAAATTTCAGCGCATTCTGATTGATTGGTTGGTCAATGTGCCATCCGCCATCGCCGCCACGCTTAAAGGAGGGCGAAATGTCGAGGAGCTATGGACTTGGGCATGCGCCACGCGGTGTGCTCCATCTCATAAGCCCGCTAACACCAGTCGGACGCCTGGGAACCACTGCCTGTGGATTTGAACTTCAGTTTTCGAGGACAAGGGATCTACCAAGGCGTTAGTACGGTAGGCAGATTTCCAAAGTGAAGCTCGCGATGTGCTGAGGTCTAGAGTGTTCGTGGCTGAGACGTAAAATCCAGCCACACTGGGTGGCTGGAATTTGTGGCTTGCGTGAAAACGGGGATCAGCTTTCAAACATTTCCTGGTGCCGATGCTGCCGTCTTGTCGGTTCCGGGCCTCGAATCTTGACATGGCAAAATCTTGGCATGCGGACAGGAACAAGAAAGTCTCAGTGAAGATCAAGGCAAACGCTGCGGGTTTCGCAACGAGATATCGGCCTCCCCGCTGCTTCCGCCGTTCAGCGGTCTCGGGAACGCGTTGCAAGACAAGTTGAAGTCGTTTTCCCCTTCCCGAAATTCAGATCTCGTACGCCACTTGGTGGCTTCCGTCTCAGTTCATCCCAAGTTCAGGCTGGAATGACGGGCGTGCTCCCCACGTCCGTCTGAACGATTGGTCGCAGATATTTGGGCTGGCGTTCACTGTAGTATACGGACGGTCTATGATGACTAAAGCCGGAGAAAGATGCCCGCGTGGCACGCTGAAGGCGGGAGACGGGCGACGGGAGACGGGCGACGGGAGACGGGCGACGGGAGACGGGAGCTGCGTGTAGCGGGGTATAGATGATGAGTGTGTAATGTGCATGCGTGCCTGCCGCAACCTACCTTTTAGATATAGCACGAGCGCCGTCGTGGCTGGCAAATATCGGACTCCTGCATGCCAAC